TATGTGAAATAACTTTGCAGTAAGTCATGAGAGGAGATGAATTATGAGGTTTAAATAGAGGATCAGGTGCTGTTTTAAATGTTTTGTGTGATAACCACTAGAATACGTTTTGAAACTCTATATTATAATTTTTAATGCATGGGAAAAGAAGAGTCTGGGCTATATTTTATGGCTCTCAACTATAATTCTAGAAGAATTCCATTCCTGGCAGAATTCCTTGTGGCACAATTTTATTTCTTTATAAATACACAGTTATATATTTACTCAAATGTAGATATCAGCTCTCACTCGCTATGTGGTGGGAAAACAAATGACCTTTGTGACTACAAACATGGTCATGGTATGAGTGGCCCAGAAAGGACTCTTCTGTGTTTCTTCAGATTATCGCTTCTCCTGACTGAGCTAAAAAACAGAGCTTTACAAGGTCCGGTGTAAAGCTGTGCCTGGAGTGAAAATTGAGCATGTAAAGGGCTCTTGAAACAGGATGAGTAAAGAAAGGGGGACTCCAGCAGGAAGCATTTTATAGTTTGGGGTGGCATCAAAGCAAAGTCTCTAGGGATAAAATGGTGGAGGGATAGACATCTCACTTACATATTTCTGAAGACTCAAATGCCAAGGGAACAGTTCCGTGAAGGAGAGGAAGAGATACAAGTGTTAGCAGTGAAGCTGCTGCTGTGCTAAAGAGATGCCATTGGTAGGAATCGATATATGCATTTCATTTTTAGAATGGCTGGTATTGCTAGCATATATGGGCACAAAGCACTTCTGACTAGATGCATTAAGCCCATACTAATGCACTGGCTGCTGCTGCTTTGGTGAACACTCACCTAATTAAGCATAATTTCATGATAATTGTGGAATTCTACAAGAGACAGTGATCAGCAGAACATAGATATAGACATAACAACATTAAAGTGACATGGATTTAGCTTAAGCTAGCAATTATGGCTACCAAACATATCACAATGTGTAGAATGTGTGACAAATGACGTGGAAATGTGTTTAACCTGTTCAGATGCATGATATATGCCAATGTTAAAGAGAATCATTCATGGAGATGAAACCAAGTTGAACTTATTATAGGAAATGAGACTTTAGGTATGAACACTGTTCTCCCAGTTCTGAGACCTTTCAGCGGACATACATGGCTGATAAGTAAGATGTAGCCAAAGGGTCAGCCTAGAGCCAGTCAGACATAAGAAGGCAGGTGATGTCACAAACTCCTAGGTAAGGGAATGGACCCTGTCCCCAATTTTCCCCATTACAGGACAACCATTGGGGACCTACTACACAATGATGCTTCAATAGCTGTATGGAATTGCCTCAAGATGATGATCACTAATATTATAATAAGTGATGACATTTGTAAAAATTTCATTTTTCTTTTCTATGATGAATCTTATAAAAATAAACCCTCTATACCTTTGATGACGTAGAGTTTATTGTGATTCATATTGCAAGAGAACACTTGACTATGGCAAGACAGGTGAGACAGCTGTTCATACTGTTTCCAGGATCAAGAAGCTGCAGGATACAATTATTGTTGCTGAATTTCCCTTTTCCTTGTCGTTCTACCTGAGGTACAGCTCAGGGAGGACTGCTACCCATATTAAGGCAATTCTTTACCACTGAAGTAGCCAGATAAATAATCTTCCTGAGAGCAGTGGCAAGAGGTTTGTCTTCTAAGTCACTCATATTATGTTGTCAGTCTATATTAGGTGTCAAAACTTTAATCCCTGGGATGCATGACAAACTGAGGCAGAAAATATCATCTCCTAACTTCAAACAATAATAATGTTTCACAGAACAAGGAAGCAAAAGCTACCACACTGTGTAAACAGACAATAGAGCAGTTTTGCATCATAGCCTCATAGGTTATTCTTAATCCATTTAATTCACTGGTGACTATAAAAAATAATGGTGAAGTGTTGTGTTTTGTTTTGTTTTGTTTTAGCTAAATAAGGCAATGTGGGAGGTGCCTTGTCTTCTACAACTTTGCTTTTTAGAGGACACAAATGAAATAACTAGTGTGATTATACATTATTTATCGTAAAATTAATAGGAGCTTGCTTTTTGTTTAACGTTTCAGGAAGAAAATACTGAATTCAATTCAACGTGCATTTGTTTGCTGCAGAGAAAACTTAGCCTTCATTGATTCTGACAACTATCTGTAAGGTTCCACTGTATAAAGATAACATCTAGTATTATACCGATTTGGAAATCCATGGCCAAGCAAAGATGGCAATTAACAATTTGAAAGTAGTTATCTAGCATGGGTGGAAGAAGTATTAGCTAAACACACAAGATTGCTGAAATATTTCATCGTTAATTTATTTAGTTTCCCCTGAGCCGTACAATAGTGAAGCTCCATTTGACATCCACATACTACAGAATATTGGCAGTGAATTGCATGCAAACAGTACTAAATATGAGAGAATATTCAGTGAAATGCCACATGTTCATATATATATATATATATATATATATATATATATATATAT